TCTGATGGTTTTCTGCTGACTTCTTTCTGAACAGCGACCGATGAGACGATGACTGTCGTATTGATGCCTCCGCGATAGTTGGGGAAGTTGGTTTCGAGCAAACAACCATGAATTGATCGTTCGATCTTCAACTACATTGACAACCTCACAATCAAGAAGCGAGCACAAAGAAATCGAACTGGTTTATAATAGCTCGTAAAAACGATACTGGATATTGGGCCATTATTGTTAATTGTTATCGTATAGGGTCTTTAGGTGAATTAAGAATCTTTTCTGTCGTCAGAAAAGATCTTTGTCTGCAATTGTTTTCCATGACTGCGTTGAGATTTTCTGGTACACCGAATACGTATTCACAAAAATAACGTGAACATTTACGTGTTCCCAGCAATTTTGTATTGTTTTTTTTGTCGGAAAACACCTAAGTTCCCGCCATAGAACGACAGGTGTGCGAACTGTTTCGATTTTTAGTTTTTCAAATCGGTTTATTACGTATTTCAAACAAACCTATTTGATCTCTCAAAAATGAAAGTTTTCACGATTCTGGCGTTTTATAATGAATCTATATAGTTGCTGCCTACTCAGCATATTGCTTCCAATATTCACATCTTATACACGTTGGTGGCACAGCGGTTGGGACGCTCGCCTACCATGCACATGGTCCGGGGCTCGATACCTGGCCGACGCACACCTTTGCCTCGCCAAGCTAGAAACGATGCCCTTAAAGAGGAAAGGTTGGGTATGAGGCTAGCAACCCCATCATGTAAAATTAAACACTGCTACAGAAACTTCAAGTCACTGGCTTGAAGCCCTATGTTACACTGGGAACGTGAAGGAAAAAACAATACACGTCCAAGGTTTCTGATTTGACAGATCGATTTTGATTGCTGTGATTTTATTCAAAATACCATACTATGGATTCCACTGGATTCTTTTCTCTCTACCTTTTTTTCTTTATGTATTTATTTTTGTTATGTGCTGTTTTGCTGCTCTCTTCCTTACAAACTCTACTTAAAACTTTCTTGTTTGTTCTTTCACACTCTGTATATCTCGACCATTTTGCTATCACCTACGCCAGTAAATATGCTAGTAGTATCTACCCTTCTAACACCTTCAAACACTCTGTTTAATTTTGGCTTTACCTCCGACATGCTTATATGTTGTCGTCAAAACTGACTGAGATAACTTTTATGTATGTAGAACTTTATTTATTAATGGCGGCCTGTTTGACATCTGGGCTACCTTTTTCGTGCATCTACATATTGCATCTAATAAGTCATGTTTTCATTCCTAATTTTAATAAAATATGATCACAAATCGCATAAAATACAGTAATTCATTCATTAAACGTTTTAAACCATATGACTTTCATGCAACTAATAATGCATCTAATAAATCTAAGAGAAAACATCATGCTGGCTGGCAGCGTGCACTTAAACAGACACCTTTATATCGTACAACCATTCCTGTTATTGTCACTTCAAACTGCCGTTCACTTCCCAACAAAATTATGCATCTCCAGTCTCTCTTATCATCTGATACTTATCACAATACGGCGATTGTTGCATTACAAGAAACATGGCTCCATGAACTCTATGATGACAATCTGGTTTCCCTAAATGGTTTTACATTGTTTAGACAAGATCGACTATGCTCCAGAAAGAAAAGAGGTGGAGGTGTTGCAACTTTCATTCATTCTCAATGGTCAACTTCAAATAATGTATGTTTTTCTTACTCTAATGACTTTATTGATTGTATAACGGTCAAATGCCGCCCGAAACATTTATCCAAATTCAAATACGTCTTCATCTCTAACATTTATGTTACTCCTGGCTGTTCTGCATCTGATCTATCTGATTTTGCTGATGAATTCACTGAATTTGCCGTTACACATCTTGAAAACTCTTTATCAGTTGTCACAGGAGATTTTAACTGCTGTGATTGTTCTTTCCTCGTATCATTAGGTCATGCCAATATTGTTAAATTCCCTACTCGACTTGATAAAACCCTTGACCTGGTGTTCATTAATGATGAGGAAATATATGAAGTACGCCGACGTGCTCCTATCATGAACTCAGATCATTGTATTATTCGGATATTACCTAAGATATACAGCAGATCTCACTTTAATATCTTCTCAAATCTGTCCAAGAGAACACAGCAAAGGTGTTACTCACAAGAAAATATGCTCAAACTAAGATGTATGCTAAATGACACTAACTGGGAACTTTTCAACGAACACAAACTGGATGATACTATTTCCAATTTGACTGACTATCTTAAATTCTGTCTTGATATATGCTGTCCAAAACAGATAATTTTCAAAAGAATGGATCGTTTTTCTTCCCCTCATCTCAAAAAACTTCGTAGAGAAAAAGAGAAGCTGTACAAGACAAAGAATAAATCTGGTCTTAAGAAGATAAACACCCAAATTAAATCTGAAATCAAGAGACTAAACAACATTTATAATCAAACAATACTATCTTGTAAAACATCAGAAAACATATGGAAGCTTTTTAGAGAAATTACTGGTTGTGGTAAGCATAATAATTTTGCCTCTTCTATTGATGTAAATACTCTCAATAGATCTTTCATCCGCCCTCCAAATGTCCTTTCTGCCTTCAATTTAACTAATAACACGACCAGTGACTTTCATCGTTTCAATACTTCTGATGTTCTTAAATGTTTGAAATCTCTTAAACCTTCCCAGAGTCTAGGCCCTGATGGTATACCTGCCATTGTTTTAAAGAAATGTGCTGATATTTTAAGTAACCCACTTACAAGCATTCTCAATACTTCTTTTTCTAATAATAATGTACCTTCTCTGTGGAAAGATATTAAAATCATCCCTGTACCCAAGTCTGGTTCTGGAGATAGTGTTAAGTTTAGACCAATTGCCATTACCTCTCCTTTCTTGAAACTGATGGAGAAATTACTTTTACAAAAACTCATTCCCTCCCTAAGCTTCTCAAATGATCCAAAGCAGTTTGCTTACAAACAGGGTAGAAGTACTTTGGATGCTGCTGCTGTGTTTCATCACAACATTGTATCCTCCTTAGACAAAGGGGCCAAGTATGTCCGTTGTACTTTCCTTGATTACACATCTGCTTTTGACTCTGTACCTAGAGGCCTTTTGTTAAACAAGCTTAGCCTTACACAAACTGAGTCCTGGGCTATCAACTGGCTGCACTCTTACTTCTCCAATAGGATGCAGTACACGGTATATAATGGTGTAGCTTCCTCTCCTTTGCTTACTGAAGCTGGTGTTCCTCAGGGTGCTGTTCTCTCGCCGTTTCTCTTTTCCTTCTTCTTACATGACTTACCTCTCTCAGACGAAATCAACTTCGTCAAATATGCAGATGACCTGACTGTTTCGCTTCCCGTTAAGTCTCAGTCAGACTGCTTCAAATTAAATAGCTTCCTGTCGGACATCAGTCAGTGGTCTAAAATAAATGGCCTAACGCTGAATCCCTCAAAATGCCAGACTGTCGACTTCTCCTTTAGGCATAAACGAGATCTACAAACACTAGTAAGCACTCATGATGTCTGTAGAATCGAGGGGACTATAATTGAAACAAAGTCTAATGCAAAATACCTCGGATTAGTTATATCTTCCGACCTTACTTGGTCATCTCATATCCAAATGATTTCCAAGAAAGTGTTTCGTCTAACCTACTACATTAAGAAACTCAGACTAACTGGAGTCCCTCAACCTCTGCTTACACAATTTGTCAACTCTCGTATCCTACCTATTCTACTTTACTGTTCCCCGTTAGTCTTTCCTGGGTTACTGAAAAAGGATTATACCATCCTGAGAAGGATGTTGAAGGTAGTTAGCAGGACTAGCGGTGTAAAACTCAGTCAGCTCGTCACAACATTAGTGGATAAGCATCTGAATACATGTGAGAAATGGTCTAAAACCATACTCTCTGACCCCCAACACCCCCTCTATTCCCAACTCTCCCCCTGCATCTCATCAGGTAGAACCAGAAATCAGTATAAAATAATATATGCTCGCACAACCAAGTATAGGAACTCAACGATACCATATTTGGCCCGTGTTCTAAGTGACAGAGACAATGTTAGGCGTGAAACCTATGACTTGCTTTGTTGTTAATAACATAATTTTGGCCCTTGTTTTTTCCCCCTTACACTCTCTTATTTGTACTCTATAGTGAACAACCTTCTTAAACATACTTAGCTGCTTAAAATTATTATCATTGGCTTACATTTTTATTCTTTATTCTATTCCTTCTTTGTACATCTACTGGGTCCGACTATATTATCACTATGATTATTAAAAATTGTCCCGTCATTAACCATCATGTAACATTAGTTTTGTGGTTGTTCTTTGTTCGGCACTATTTAACTGACAATCTTGTTTGTTATTGCCACTATCACCATCTTAAAAATTTTGTATTATGCATGATTCCTCACACTACCACTACAAACAACCGCATTAGTACTGACAATAAAAAAAACCTGAAATGTTTATCTTATGATTGCTTAGTGTTGTTCAATCAAATTAACTGATCATCTTGGCTATAAACATTTTTTTAAGAACATCTCATAATTTCCCGTATGATTATAGCTGTTACTGTTCACCACGCATACACATATCGTAGCTTCCACTAACTAATACTGAAATATTTTTTTTCATTATTTGTGTTGATCTTCTTTTTTACTCAGTATTTTTATTTGCATTTTTTTTGGTTATTTCTGTTTCTTTTGTTTGGTTTTTATAATACTGCATTTAAATGTACGATGAAATTAGATGCAATATTGTAGATATGTGCTGAAAATTCCACACTGTACCACAAGTACTGTTTCTGGAATAAAGCGAAATTGTTATGTTATGTTATGTTGTTAATGTACTAACTGGATGCAATATTGTAGTAAAATGCTGAGAAGTCCTTTCTGTATCACAAGTACTGTTTTGGAATAAAGCTATTATCTTATCTTTTCTTCCGTCTCTCTGTCACCTCATTTCAAAGTTTTAATGTGTTACTTTGGATAATAGTAAAGGTTATTGGAGCGCGCTCCTTGAATAAGACGTGCTACTTCTGTAGCAACATCCTCACTCTTTCAAATATACAGGACTTGTGGGTCTGTTAGGTGATTGCTGTGAAGCCGAATAACCCGAAAGTTACAGGTAAAGTCAAAAGCTTTTACTTAAATACTTTATCCTTCTTTTCTGTGCTCTCTATTGTCTTTTGCTGTAAGTCTATTGGACAAAATAACAGTCTCATTATTTAATCACCAGTATTAATTTAGGAGTAAAATGACAATAGATTCTCATCGTAAAATAAGTAATGGGACATCATACTCTGTAGTCACCAGGGCTTCAGCCAAACTGGGCAAACAGGTGAAGCTGATGGACTCACGCATACCGGTCTTGAAGACCAGGGCAAATATTCCCAGCTCGTACAGATTACCCATGTCGCCACAGTCCTACAGTGAAGCTGTGCAAAGTCAGCCAAGTGGATGTGGCTCCACCCCTGTTAACACGACTAGGTTAACAGATCCGAGTGGGAAAATTGCACTAAGTGAGAACTGCATAACACCCATCCCCATGGTAGACCATGAAACAAATAGGAAGGCCAAAAAGAAACGTTCACGACGTCGCAAGACGACAAGAACGCTCCCCAAGAAGGTAGACGACTGCAAGGTCTGCGCTTCTGTTGTCGAACAAGCAGACTCTGCTTTCGAATGTAACTTTTGCAAGCGATGGGTGCATTGCAGATGCGACAATGGGGTACCAAAAGCATATTATGACTTTATGCGTAAAAACCCATGCCAATGGTTCTGGTACATATGCCCGAGTTGCCGTCCTGATGTAGCCTCGCGTAGTCCTTTGAAAACTAAAGTTGGCGCAAAAGTAGCAGGGAAAAATGTGAAATGTTCGACCCCCACCAATCCGGAAATTAGTACAAACGCACGTAAACCGGGGATACCAAAATCCTCACCGGTTAAACTTGTAACTCTTGACATAACCGCTCCAGACACAGAGGCTGGAGAACCACGGGTTTCCGTCGTTGGAAAAAGACCCCAATCGTCTGCCAGTAATACTGGCCATAGCACTGAGACACAAAAATACCCAGTCGCACCAGACAAACCAAAACGGTCTTAAAGGGGATCACAAATGTGCGAGGACCGAGCCCAAGCCCACGGTTAGTAGATCAAATTGTGTAATCCTCTTTAATGTACCAGACTGTAGTAGTAGTCTGCTGAAAGATAGGGCCCTATTTGATCAGGAACAGTGGTCCATCTTGTGTAGCACACTGGGTTTGGACATCCAACCAGTAAATCTATGCAGATTGTATAGGGGCACTGCTGCACCTGAAGGCAAACCATCCCCACTGAGGGTAACATTGGGCTCTACCGAGGATGTTGAAAAAGTGTTACTGGCTTCTCAAGTCCTTTCTATAGGGAGGGCCTGTAACATACGTGTTAAGCCAGACAGGCCGTGGAAGGAAAGACAAATGGCGAGGGAGTCGCCAGAGCTCATTCCTTCTGCCTCCATGGTTGTGCATGGCATTCCCGAACTGGTAACTGGGAACGCCTGCGAAAAGCATTGTCATGATGTACAACAATGGAGATGGTTGGCATCCCAGATGGCCCTGGGAAGTTCAGGGGCTGTCTCTATTTATAGACTGCCTCGACCCACTCATCTTATGTCAATTAACTCGCCACGTCTGTTAGCTGTCAAGTTCAGCTCCCAAGACCAGTTGACTACCGCTCTCCATAGATGGTACGAGACCAAGGACAAGGTCAGCAAACACATTCGCTGCTGCGAGAGCCGGCCTCGCACTCAAAGGAGAGAACAAAGCGTAGTAAAAAAAATCCTCAACCCCTAGTCACACTACAGCGGTGCAGCACGGACGATGATAGCCAGTGTCATCCGAGTGCTCCGACTGAACTAGAAGAAAAAAACGCCAACAGGCCGGTTCCTGGGGAATCGGCCAACTAGTTCGTAGGATAACTCCTCAACCGATAGCCAATATCAAGTCAACTACCCCCCAATACGGGGAAGTGGTGAGACTGACTACCAGTTGCCTGTACAGTAATGTGAGAGGGCTAAGAGGCAAAATAGCTGAACTTAGACACCTACAATCACAACTGAACTCCAAAATCATAATACTGACGGAAACCTGGCTAACCCCTACGGTGGCAGACAGCGAAGTCAGTATAAATGATATGGTCCTAGTCAGGCGAGATAGGGACCTGAAAGAAGGAGGTGGAGTCGCCATATACGTCGACAAACAGCTCAGATGTGTTCACGCGATGGACCCTCCCCTCACAGAGCTCCCTGACTCCATATGGTGCCACTTCACCGTTGGGTACTGCAAATATCTAGTGGGCAGCATTTATCGATCACCTTCATGTGGAGCAGACCACAACCAGGTACTGCTAAATACAATCTCAGCAACTCAAGACATGGGTTATGATCAAATTGTCATAGCTGGTGACTTCAATGCCCCATCTCTTAACTTGGTGTCGGGAAAAGCCCATGATAGATTTGATCGAAATCTGCTGCATACCATCAGGAAGGCTGGATTCACTGAAAATGTCAAGATGGATACTAGATGGGGCCCTGATGGGAAGTCTTCTAGACTGGATTACGTGCTCACTAGTGACCAGCTACTAGTGGAAAACGTTCAGATCACGACTCCCATAGGTAGTAGTGACCACGCGGTCATAGTATTCGACATAGTCCTCCGCGAGCGCTTACAGTGGGACAATACACAGCCCTATCTGTGTTATAACAAAGCCAACTACCAAAATGCGAAGACTTCTGTCTGAAGCAAATTGGCCTAAAAAATGGACAGAGCTAACAGTAGAAGAACACTGGAGAGTGGTAAAGGAGATCATTCACCAGGCGGTCTCAGACACTGTTCCTTTAGTCACACCAAAAGCTAGGAAGCAACGATCATGGCTAAAAAGGGGGACACAACGCCTTCTGCAGGCGAAGCGAAAAGCCTGGTTTGCGTGGCGACGATCGAAGAGTCAACCCGAACATGAAGTGTACCTTGAACTCAGGAATCGATGTAACATACGAGTCCGGAGCGATAGAAGGACATTTCAGGGAAACCTCGCCAATAAGCTTCTCGTGAACCCCAAAAGCCTATACAGGTTTATGTCCGAAAGAAAACCGACCAACCAGGGAGCATGCAATCTAGTGGGTTCTGATGGGAAATCTCTTACTAGTCTTGAAATGGCAGAGACATTCAGCCTAGCCTTTCACAGGCAACTAAACAGTAACGAGGATATTACCCCACAGAACATCCAGATTACATCGCAAACCAACACGCGAAAACCTGCTGGGTACATTTCAAATTACCCCGGCTATGGTACTTGCAAAATTGGGAAGGTTGGCTTCGGGAAAGTCTTCAGGTTGTGATGACATCAGACCATCTGTCCTGAAGCAGTGTTCAGAAAGTCTCTGCCAACCCCTAAGTGATCTGTTCCAACACTCCCTTGATGTAGGGAAACTTCCATGTGAATGGAAACGAGCAATCCTATCCCCTATCTTCAAGGGTGGTGACCGGCAGAATGCGACCAGTTACAGACCAGTTGCTCTACTTCCAGTGATATCGAAGATATTGGAAAGTCTCATTGACGACCACATGAGAAAATACTTCGATGGGACTAACCTTCTTCACGAAGCACAGCACGGTTTCAGGAGGGGAAGATCCTGCGTGACGAATCTTCTACTAGCTTGGAACGATTGGACACTATCCTGGGACAAAAAGGTACCAGCCCACGTGATCTTTCTCGACTTTGCGAAAGCATTCGACACAGTTCACCATGGTCTGCTCCTTCACAAAATAAGCAAGGCGGGTGTTTCTGGAGCACTTCTCGCATGGCTGAAAGATTACTTAGGCGAGAGAGAATTCTGCACCAAAGTCAACCGCATCCGATCATCCTGGCACACCTCGGCATCAGGGGTTCCTCAGGGTTCTATCCTAGGGCCGTTGATGTTTTTGATTTTTATCAACGACCTGCCCTCCAACTAAACTGCTCTGCGCTTCTTTACGCTGACGACGTAAAGATTTGGAGAGCAATAAACTCATCGGAAGACTCAGATAGATTGCAGGCTGACCTGCAAACTCTGGGAAACTGGGCTCTGGCTAACGGAATGCCTTTCAACCTAAAGAAGTGCAAAGTAGTGCAACTTCATTCCGGCAGGTCACAGAGTGTAAATTACACCCTTGGTGGCCAGAACTTGAGTTGTGTTCCATCAGAGCGCGATCTAGGTCTTATTCTAACAGAAAAGCTAGACACCAGTGGAAATTACTCGAGGGACGTCGCCAAAGCCTACGCAACTTTACACTTTATGCATAGGCAGCTGGGAGCTCTCACTCCCGAACTGTTCTTAAGGTTATATAAGGCATATGTGAGGCCACACCTTGAGGTGCATAATATCATTGCACCTCCGCTACTCAAAAGGGATGCTAACATTCTAGAAAGTGTCCAGAGACGAGCGACAAAATGGGTGATCGGCCTCCGCAACAAATCATATGAGGAAAGACTAAAGAAATTAGGTTTTTTCACACTTAGTTACCGTAGGCACAGGGGAGACCTCATCACCGTCTACCAGATCCTAAATGACCAGGCCCACCCAAATAAAAGCATCCTGCCATTAAGTGATTATAGGCTTCCACGAGGTAACCCGCTAAGGATAGCACACCAGAGACCAAAGACTCGAGTGCGATCACATTTCTTTTCGCTTCGTGTTTGCCGTCTCTGGAACGCTTTACCGGCGGCCGTGACTACAGCGCCATCTCTGGAGATTTTTAAGCGGAAGCTAGACAATCATGCAGAAATGCAAGGTTTGTGTCTCAATGGCTTATCCTCATAAAACTTAAAACCACACTGTCAATGGATAAGCGTACAAACTAAATCCCCACGACCTATTCTGCCTTCTCTCACTCTATCTTTTCCTTAGGTCACCTTTATTATTCCACTTATCTCAACCTATATTATCTACACTACAACCCATTATTTTTATTATTATTATTATTACTACTATTCTGCTTTTATGACTACACCGAATGACCAACGGGAGTTAGGTCAAACTCCATTCACGGCAGCAATACAGTCCTAACATACTGCATACTACAAACCACATCTCGACCAATCCCCGCACCACTCCTCTTGGAGTCTACCAGAGCTAAAGCAGTCGAGTGGCGGAACTTACTACGCAGAAGCTCACCGAAGATCTGGAACCTCTACCTCACAATCAAGAAGCGAGCTCAAAGAAATCACTGGTTTATACTAGCTCGTAATCAGGATATTGGATATCGAGTCACTGCAGCATATTCGTTTGCGTTTTCTAGTGGGCAGTAATAAGACTACCTTGAATCTAGGTGATTAATTAGTCTTGTCTATTTAAATACACGAACAAAGAAAAAAGAGACATTGGGGCAGAATAATCTGGATCCATTTTATTTCGTTGGTTCTCATCAGTGAAGAGATAAGTTAACAAATTTCGAAAAAATGTTATTAAGAAGTGAGTCTCCGGGGTTCGATACCCCGCCGACGCACACCTTTGCCTCGCCGAGCCAGAAATGATGCCCTTAAAGAGGAAAGGTTGGGTATGAGGCTAGCAACCCCATCATGTAAAATTAAACACTGCTACAGAAACTTCAAGTCACTGGCTTGAAGCCCTATGTTACACTGAGAACGTGAAGGAAAAATTATTATTAAGAAGTGAGTCAACAGGGTAATTGAAGTCCAACAACGGATTCTTTGTGGACAGGCTTCAATCGTTTTATTGCTATAGCTTCAGCAAACCTGAGAAGACTTTAGGTACTTTGTGTGTTCAATATTTTGAATGATTCCAGCACATCTACTCGGTGTCCTGTGTCAATCAGGTGTTTGACGATTGAAGAGTTCAGACAATTCGGTCCTATTAGCTGGAGGGTCCTTGGTACATGTTCGCAGAATCTGACGTAGACCCTTCCGTCTGTTCTTCCAGTGTAACTGTTCCAGCAGATAGATCTGATTTGATATGCACAATTGGCCGTAACATGTGAGGGGTAACTGTCACTCTTTGACTGCACCAGTGAAGAGGTTGTTCGGGGTAGAGAAATTAATAACGTTGCAGGATACATCCTAGACAGGGCTGCGCTCAATCTTTTATTTACCACTCTCATAATGTCGTCGCCCTTGTAGTCGAGTTTCATGAAAATAGGCTTCTTACTGACTACAGCTGTATCAAGCTTCTTGAGTTCATTCTTGCTATATCTGTTAATGAAACTTCATGTGTAACCATTTTCTTTCAGGCATTTTTTAAGAAGCATTAGTTCACTCTAGTTTGTTTGGGGAACATATTCTCTTCGCTCTAGAGAATAGCGTTTTCACCAGCGTTCGTTTGTATCTCATTGGTCAGAAGCTGTGGAAATTCAAGTAAAGACCACTCCATGTGTCTTTATGATATACAACCTACGGTTAAAGGGACCGAATTCTTTAAGCTTTTCAATCGCCAAACACCTGATTGACACAGGACACCGAGTAGATGTGCTGGAATCATTCAAAATATTGAACATACAAAGTACCTAAAGTCTTCTCAGGTTTGCTGAAGCTATAGCAATAAAACGATTGAAGCTTGTCCAAAAAGAATCCGCTGTTGGACTTCAATTATCCTGTTGACTCACTTCTTAGTAACTTTTTTTTTAAATTTGTTAACTTATCTTTTCACTGCCCCCTCCTTTATTTTCCGCTTGGCTCTCTTAAGAGATAATTTTTCTTGATCTTCTGAGTTCTGCTCTTTGTATTACATCATCAACTCATCTTATCTCATGTGCACCCAAATTTTAAAATTTTGATCTCTTATCTAATTACGTAACTATTACTAATTTTCTTTTGTTACCACCCCAACAACACAACTGTTAAATAATTTTTTCAAGAAACTTCTCTCTAACAAGATATATATGTATATATATATATATATATATATATATATATGTCGTAACACTTCAGGCACCCTGTAAATCGCGAAGCCTTATTTTTCTCTGACGCTCTGACAATATGCTTGCTAATGGACAAAAGTTCGTTAAAATTGTACGCAGCTGATGAGAACCAACGAAATAAAATGGATCCAGATTATTTTGAGCCAATGTTTCTTCTTTGTTCAAATTTATAAAAGGGAATCATTGTACTAAACACATGGATTGGATGTGCTGCCTTGAACACTCCAATGAGTATTATTATTGTTTTACTGCATATTTGCTCCCACACCATCCGTTTTTAGAAATTTATCATAGATGGATTTCTTGTGTTCTAATAAGAACATGGTTGTAACAATAATTTCGCCACCACACTGTTTCTTTACATAATATTAAATTGTTCTTGGGATAGCTATGTGTATTTCAACCTTAATTGTTGGTGGAATTTAAAGGCTTGTAGAGGGTAGTTTTGAGGCTAAGTTGTTTCCAGCCCACTGTATGTTTTATCTACTTTCGGTTTTTATGAACACCCTAACGATCTACAGTTCTCAGTGTACTCTTTTCAGTCTTATCAATGGATATGTGTGTGATCGGTTGTGTAAATAGTATACTGCTTTTTCAGTATTTTATGGGTGACACGCATCACAGCTGTTGACTTAAAGAAAAAAATTTTGTTTCAGCTGTAATGTTCACTTAAAATATATTGTCTGACTATCGATTTCTGTAGCTTTTCCACTTTGTGTTGCTAAGGTAAGTGATACTTAATTATGCTTTTCGTTTCTTTAAAATCTTTGATTCTGCCTCTGGTGTAAGAAATTATGTGGTATTCTATTCACAGGTTTTGTGTGCTGTTATGATGTGAATTGTAGTCTGTTTCCAACATTTCGGGTTTCAAAATATATTTTGTCTAAAGCTTGAAATATATGTGTTATCTAACATATCGTTTGAATTTTTGCATCATTTTAATTACTTCAGTATCTTCTTGAAACCGAGGATAAAAAAGCTGGTTGTAGTGGTAAACATCGAAGAAAAATTGAACTGGCACACTGGATGACTTCTAACCTTAATTGATTGGTTCATTAAAATGTCACCTGTTGAACGGCAAAGTGACTCAGATATCTCTGCCTTGTACAACCTAAAGTCAAAGACTGGAGAACATTTTACCTTTAAAGTATGGAATTTAGATATGAATTTCATTACCCAACAATTTTAGTGTTCTGTCCTTAGTATAGCGTTGGAGTCAATTATTAATAGACTTGGTAAGGAGAGCGAAGGACGTTTAATTACTGTAATCGGTGACTGCAGCAGACAGGATCCGGAGTTTCTTTTCAAGGTAACTTACCATCCTCATTTCATGCATCTTAGATCGCATTTTATTGTCACAAACATTTAAACATCCAAAAGATAACTAATTTGTTATTTTCAAGTGCCTGCCTCTATGCAGAGTGTCGGGTTTTCCTTACGAAGTATTTTGACGCGTGCATTAGTTCACCAATGGATTGGATAAAGGTTGTCGAATACTATGCAGTAGGTTTTCATCATATGTTAACCCTTTCTGAAGTTATTAAGTAATGATTTCAGTCTTAATAAAATGCCGAATGCATTAAAAAGATGTATGATCTCAAAGTTTACTAAATTTAGTCCGTACGACCTAGGTAAGATTGGATTCACTTAACATTTTTGTAGCACAATGCAGGCGCAAAATCAGAGCTGAATGTGCTTCTGAGTGCGAGGTAATTTGTTTGACAGCCCTTACCTTCTTTAGATGGGTTCAAAAACTGCAGGTGATAAAGCAGTGGATTACCGCTATGGAAATTTTCTATCAGTACAGGGAGACAAATCTGCGAACATTTTCACTTTGAAAGACATCGTCCGCAAACTACATATACGGAAACCTGCATTCAGCGTCATGTGCATTCTTGAAAAGAAGTATCCCTCAAATTTTGATGATTTTATACATACGAATTTGGATGGTGACTGGGATGCTTCGAAGGCTGGATTACGTATGAAACTTCCTAACCACCCAAAATCAGCTCTTAAAAATGTTAGTACTTGGAGGAATCTTATAGGTAAGTTTCCTTATATCAGGATACAAATGTGGACTTTCATAAATGATTCCATTTGTTGGGATATCTAAGACGTTAAAGTTGTAGATATGTTTTGGCAATTGGTCGCGAGAAACTCTAATCTAGTACAGCCAAACGAAGAGTTCTTAATATAAGTTTCTGCGTGCAATTCGTATGTGGAAATGCAGTGTGTTAGTTGGAAATCTACATACATTGTGTTTGCTGTAACTTGTTCTTGTGGTTCTTACTTTACACTGATCCTCACTGCTACATTTAGCATTTCGTAGAATATCCGTTTTACACTAACTGTTTCTGTAGGTGATACTTCGTGTCACCTTATTCGTGTCTGGAATTGTTTACATGATAAGCCATCTGCATGTAAAACTTTGGCTCATAATTCCAAATCACTTATTCAAGTTCGCGATAATCTGATAGGGATATTTGGAGCAACTGTTTTGTGCTATAAGGACTTTGCGTCTTGACCGTTAGAGAACATTGATGTTCAGAATAATGTGAAATTATTTTTGCATCGACAAGTATGCTGCATCAATGATGCTGTAGTCACACTTTGATAATATATCAAACGGTCTCAGTAAAGGTAAGATAGTTTTTCTGAACCCATAATGGAAGATTTATTGGGAAGCCAATCTTCATAGGAACCATTAAATTATATGGTTTTTGTTTTTGTTAAGGTGTTCATTCCAGGGAATGACGTTTCAAGCCTTTTTATATTTTGAATATTTTTCCTATGAAAAACAAGGTTTTTAGCTATGGCTGATGAGTAAAATATCTACACAACTTAGTGGGAGTGGCTGTTGAACATAAAGGAATTGATGTCAACCACCTATTAAAAAAAAGCTGTTAGTTGGCGACTTATTTCCTCACTATTCTTAAATACTACTCATTGTCTGATGAACCTACCGTAGCTTTGTTAAGCTGGTTATATGTTTTCATGTTAAAATTTATTACATAGAAAGAAAAGCGTATTCATTCAGCGATATAACCATTATTTTCCCCAAGCATTAGTTCGTAGGGATTTGAATAATGTCGAGCTTGACCACAAAATGACTTCAGTTAGAGAACCGCTGAAAAATAGGCATTACTGGAGGACTGTTTCGTCCTCGTCTAGACTCTTCATCAATATACGCACGTGATGATGCCGGCGATCAAACCCGGAGGTCCTGACCTTCGGATTACAAGAGAGGCTTGTTGACCGTCCATCTACTAAGATGAGATCCAATAGCTGAGCCACCTAAATTCTGTCAATTCACAGTACTTTCAGTAGTTTTTAATTTTCACTCAGTCTACTTTTTTGTTGGCAAGGTTGTCTGTAGTAGTTGTCTTCTGATACAGAAAATGGCTGGTAATCCATTGTTTACCCATTCAAATACTGTAGCAACCCAAATCTTCATTTCATCTTTAATTGCATCTTCTCCATGTTTTTCGGAATTTATCATCCACTGTAATTTATTCTACACAGTAAAGTTTAATTAATATCTTACCGATTTATAGAGACCTATTTACATGACTTTTCTAGGTAATTTTAACCAAGTTCGTATTGCCCTTGAATCGAGTTACTTTGCCCGTTTTTCTAGTTTTCAAGATGCCAAACATTCAGACTTAAGCCTTAAACCCAAGCTTCCCACTTACCTTCACTCATCTGCAAAGTGAATCGAGAACGTTAAGCAACATTTTTTTTTCGTATAACATATGAACCATTGCATTCAGGCTTTCCGCGCAAATTTACTTACTTTCTACACTATCCAATCTTGTTGAGGTTAGTTATCTTACGTGAATGAATTTTTTTTCTCCCATTTAAGTAAATCTGTAGCTTATGGGAGTATATTTTTCAATCATTTTGTAGTTGCTTCCCCTTATTTATGCTTATTTAGCCTGTGGAGAGCTTGGACATGAAATAATTCTACAAAACATAGAAAGTATATTAGATTCACACCTTTCTGAAGCAGAACATGAAATTATTCTCCAGATTTTGTCAAAACAAGTGAGTTTTTTCTTATCGAAAGACTGTCTATGGGTTGTAATTTTCTCATTTCATTACTATTTAGTATGTCTCTTTGGTTTTTGTTAGCAGTTGTTTTCTTGCGTAATTACTATTCTGTTAACCACTTGTGCCTTACGGCAACTACTTAGTCAGCATTAAAGGTCGGGGGAATAAATTTCAAAATAAGTTTTCGAAATATAATCAAATGAATCATAGTGACACATTTTAAGAGATCATTTGAAATACCAATAAACAATCCAGGTATATTTTTGTATTGCTCTGTTTTTTTTACTAAATTTTTACTCAACTCAAAAGTTTGAATTTTCCAGATATACCATCAAATAGTAGACAGATTTTATAGATTGGTTTAATAGATGAACGATAATTCTAGTGATTCATGTGGCCTGAATTGAGAATCGACAAAAGATCGATACACCTGTTATATATTGTTAGCCAGAAGTTGGTTATTCTCGACACATTTTCTATTTCTGTATTTGTATTGTTTGGAGGGGTTATGAATATACTCAATCATTAAGGGTGAAGTAGTGGTTAATAATAATAATAATTTTTTCTTCATGTTCCCAGTGGAACATTGGGCTTCAAGCTAGTGACTTGAAGTTTCTGTAGCAGTGTTTAATTTTACAGGATGAGGTTGCTAGCCTCATGCCCAACCTTTCCTCTTTATCAGCATTACTTCTGGCTTAGTGAGGTAAAGGAGTGCGTCGGCCGGGTATCGAACCCCGACCGTGTGTATGGTCGGCGAGCGTCTTAACCGCTATGCTACCGACGTGGTTAGTTGGATTTAAATCCCGGGGTCTATTGGATTAAAGTTCAGTGATTAAGACAATAAGAAACTTCTCCATCATGATCTAAATAGTATAGTCCTACAGTGTTTTACTTTTTAATCCACCAAATTTTGATTAGTGCAATCGTAATTACCAAAACATGCAAGTGATTCATGCACATTTATAATATATGTGTAAATAATTATCTATAGAATGAGGTTAAATGAATTCGGAATTTTACAGGTAGATGTACCTGTCCATTCTTCACATGACAATTTCTATTTTCTTAGTTTATCACGTAATAATTTCAATATATATATATTTCACTTGAGATATTCACTAATCTGTCATTTTGTGGGATTAGCATGAATCTTTTGGCTATTTAGTGTTCACCAAAGCTTTGCGTTCTTCAATAGACTAAAGATTTCGTTTTATTATCAAGATTAATAATACACAAGGTATATGACTATTTACGATTGAGATGTGGATTTTATTAGTCATAACTAAATTAATTTGTTGAAATTACTGTTTGAATTCCCTGTTGATAGATTTTAGTGGACAGAAATGCTCGGCCTATGTTGCCATGCCGACTCCTATTATGGACGCTTGAGTGTTGTATTGAGGATAACACTATGCTATTTGGCAGATACATCTAGCTGGTGAGTCCCATAAAAGATGAAATGTGTCCCCTAGGTTCGATTGATAGTCACCATCAATCCAAATAGCATCATGTCAATTTTCAGACACCGTTGGAGAGTCCCATTG